GTTAAACATGGACAAGAGTAACCCAGGTGTCAACCCTAGAAGTGGAGAGTCACTGAAGGGCTCCTTCGAGATGGGCTAACATCGCCTACCACTGCAGATGGAGAGGGACCGTTTGTACTTAGGTCATAAACCTAACTATGCCGTCAACAGGAGTAAAAAGCAGGGCTGAGAGAGGATTGGTTACGTAAATCTTCAAAAGGACAACATTATCGAGGCAGAGGAAAAAAGAGATAAATCTTATACACCAAAATATAAGATACCTACCCATAAAAGGACATCATGGATGAACTCAGTATACAGATGGCAGGATGGGAGGAGATATTTGCAACATCTAAAAGTGATAGGCAATTAATGTCTAGATATAAACTCCCACAGAATCAACTAAAAAAAGTGAGCTATAAATTCTAAAAATTTGGCAAAGTGTATTAAAAACCAATTTAAAAACAGTAAGCCCCAGATGCTAACAAGCGTAGGAAGAAGTACTCAAAATCATTAGTAATCAGAAAAAAATGCAGAATAAATCAGCGAGCTCTCATTTTATAGCTATTAGCCTAACAAACAATGAAAAAGCAGACAATACCAGTATGTGTACGTGTATGAGGGGCACAGGGAAATGAGACACCTCACACAGTGCAGGGGCAGAAGGACCGGGGCAGCCATTCTGTACAACACCTGGAACTATTTTGATATGCTCAGGGAAACTGATGGCTTTAAGTCGCTTATGCACGTGCTTAAGCTGCCTAGGAAACTTCCCACAGGACAGGGAGCTGCTAGAGCAGATGGTCAGTGCAGCACCACTCTCTGTAGTTTTGCTGTGAGTGCACGTGTGTGCGCACACAAGATCACCTGCTCACGTGCTTGGGGGTGATCGTGGTGATGGTGACGGTGGCAAGAAGTGGGAGAAAGCCTGAGTGGCTGACACTGGGGGAACTATAAAGCATGGTAGATTCTCGTCATGGAACACCAAGCAGCACTTAGAACACTTAGTACCCCAGATTACGTATACGGATTACGTATGCACAGGAGAATGTGGGTTGGCGGTGATGCTCCAGTAAGTGCTGTTGCTTAGGGTTCGCTTGATTTGTTTATTAGTCTTGTGGTACTGGAGACTGATCCCCTACCTTCACGCAAGCTACAGGATCTCACTAAGTTGCCCAGGATGGATTAAAACTTTCTACCCTTCTGTCTCAGCTGCTCAAGTGCTGGATGACAAGCGTGCATCACTAAGTCCAGCTTAGTGTTTTTAAATAAAGTGTTGCTTTATTTAAAAATGTCATATGTAATACAATACGACTCACATAAATTTTAAAAATACATATATACCAAATAATCTTTCAAAAACATATATACCAAATAATCCTGCAAAAACAAAATACAATACTACTCACATAAATTTTAAAAATACATATATACCAAATAATCTTGCAAAAGCATATACAAAAAAAGTAAACATGAATACATTAAAGATGATGTTATTGGAGAGAGAAGAAACCCTGAAATGTTAGAGGACTTATATTACCTGACTCTAAGACTTACTATAAAGTAGCACTAATCAAGAGAGTGCAGGGGGCTGGGGATTTAGCTCAGCGGCACAGCGCCTGCCTGGCAAGCGCAAGGTCATGCGTTCGATTCCTAGTACCAGAGAAAAACAAAACAAAAAAAAGAAAGTGCAGTATTGTTGTCAAGATGGACAAATAGATCTGTAAAACAGAAGACAGAGCCCAGAAATAAACCCATGCATGAGCTGTCAAATTATTTTCTTAAACAATGATCCAAAACAATTCCGTGACTATACATATGCAAAAAGTGAATTTGGGTCTATAATTTGAAACTTATTAAAATTTTTGCTCAAAATAGATCATAGACCTATATATAAAACCAAAGACTGTAAAACATCAGAAAACATAGGAGAAAATCTTTGTGACTGGGTCAGGCAGAGATTTCTTAGTTACAACACTAAAATACCAATCCACAAACAAAAGAAACATTTCAACCAAATTAAGAATATTTTCTATCTGAAAGACACAGTAAGACAATGCAAAGAATATCTGTAAATCATATATTTGATAATGGTCCTGTGTACAGAATAAAAAACTCTCAAACTCAATAAGAAAACAAATAAACCAGGCCTATAGTGCCAGCAACTTGGGAAACTGAGGTAAGAGGATTGCAAGCCTGGACAACCTCACAAGACTGTCTCAAAATAAAATTTAAAAAGGGCTTGGGCTGTATCTCAGTGCGAAGCCCCTGGGTTTAGTCCTCAGCACCACAAAAATTAAAAGCAGGAGAGGGACCCACTCAATTTTTAATAAGCAGGAAACTCAAAGAGGCGATTCACTACAATATATTTATTTATGGCAAATAAGCACATGAAAAGATGTTCACCATCATTAGACATTAAGGAAATTAAAAATAATGAGGAGATACCACTTCACACCAGGTAGAGTTAAAATGAAAAGGACTGACTACACCAAGTATTGAAAATGTAACACTGGAACTCACACACTGCAAGTGGGAATGTAAAATCGCACAACCAACTGTGTGCAGTGGCCTATAATCGCAGCACTCTGGGAAGTCAAGGCAGGAAGATCCAAAGCTTAAACCCAGCCTGGAGAATTTAGCAAATTAGGGAGGCCTTGTGGCAAAATAGAAAATAAATAAAGCTGGGGCCGTAACTCAGAGTGAGAGACTTGGATTCAATCCCCAGTACAAATTAATTTTAAAAATAAATAAGTTACAACTATTTGTGTTTCCTAAATGTTATAAGTATGCACTTGCCATTTGACCCAAACATTTCTAATATTGACTCAAGAAAAATGAAAGAGTAGACAGGTAGTTAGACCCTAACAGGCCTGAGGCACACAGTGGGAGGGAGTAGGAGTGGCGATTGTGGCGATCCACAGCACCATGCTGTTCTTGGTATAGTTAAATGAAGAAACAAAGATCGCAGAGTATAATACTATTATGGTTTGTGTCTTAATTCCCCCCCCCCGCCCCCCGGCAAAGGCTCATGCAGTATTGAGGCAGGCTTTTAGAGTTCATGATTGATCCACGATCCAAGCTGGGATTACAGGTGTGAGTGCTACACCGGCCCTGGGGTGGATAGCTTGCATAAGGGAAAGAGGCTGCCCGCCTGCTCTCCTCCCTTTTGCTATTGTTGCTTTTGCTGTGTTCCTAGGCCATGAACTGTTGCCCTCTGCCACGTGCCACCCTGGCTTGGAGCCAGCTGAGTATGGACTGAAACCTCCACAAACTGTGAGCTAAATAAACCTTTCCTTCCTTAATCCTGGGTGTCAGGTATTTTGTCTCAGCAAGGAAGGAACAGTAATCAAGACAAATACATCTACAGTCATTCATTAGGTCTTGAATCGAAGCACAGGGCCTCTAGTTCTAGAACATGGCAGACAGCATCTGGTCCAGTGATGTCTGAGAAAGAAACATTCTTCAAAGACCTTCCCACCTTGGGCTTGGATCTGATTTCACTTCAATTTATCTTTCCAAAATTTCTTACATGATTAAGTTCCCTGAGAGAACCCTGGTCATCTAAAAAAGGCGAAGATACTTTGCAATTCCAAAGTATTAACTTCTAAGAAAAATGTCGATAAGCAATATAATTACTCTAGATCTCTGAGCTCTGGAGTAACTCTTAACAGCATAAAAGATATCCAGATTCACAGTCGGGGCAGATGTGTTTGTCACACTGCCCACTGTCTCACCTGAACCCCCCCCTAACTCTCTCAAGATCTGCTTTACAATAACTCTACCTCTGCACAGTCGTCTACGTGTCTTGACTGAATTCTTTCTTCAATGGCACAATGAACCAGAAGAGGACTCAGTTCCCCCAGCACCTGATCCACTCCCCTGGTGACAAAAACATGCCCACACTTGGTCTTCTACACCGGTGCTCCTAAAGCTTTATTTATACAACTGGAAGCAACAGTCAAGAATGTCCATCACAGTAGATGGACAAACGCCCTTGTTGGGTTTTACTTCTGGTGGGACTGAGGAGAAAATGATTTTTAGAGGTAAGGGTTGGTCCACATGGAAGAGAGAAGGATCCATTTGGGGATAGAGGAATCCAGAAGTTCCATCACCTTCCTGCATCTGCTCTTAGCTGCAGCATGGCTGGGAAAGACGGCCCTCCTCAGACTGCAGGACCAGACCTCTGCCTCCATCTTTCCAAGCATGGAAAAAACCCACAAAGGAAAGGAAGAAAAAAAAAAGTACGTGTATATATATATATATATATATAATTTATTTGGTGATTAAAAAAACTGCTCCATAAATAAAATTCCTTAAATCACTATATTCAAAGATTTCATTATGTTTTTTGCTTTATGGAAAAATATTGTAAATATATATTTTTTGTTGTTGATATACAGTCAACCTCCAATGTTGTGTTAAACATTTTAAACTAAATGTAAGTATCGCAGAGTGAGTCTTAAGGCTGTCTCACTTGACACGTTATAGTTATTCTGGGCCAGGGGAAGAGGGAAACTAGTTGGACTTTTTTTTTGTTTTCTAAAAATTCTCCACTATTGGTTTAAGAAAGAACACGAACATCTTTGCTCTGACACGTGGAAATGGGAGATATTTGTGTAATAAAATTTTTAAAAGACAAAAAATTAGCCTCTAATGGGAAATATTTTGGTTTGGTTTTGTTTTTAAATAAAAAACTTTTTAAAAAAAAAGTGTCCCCCAACAGTGAATTGCTGAACAATCTGTGGTAACATCCGTACTAATTTGGTTTTTTTTTCTCCGGTACCGGGAACCGAACTCACGACCTTGCGCTTGCCAGGCAGGCGCTTTTGCCGCTGAGCTAAATCCCCAGCCCCCATCCGTACTAATTAATACTTGTAGACACCTTTTACTTCGCAACAGAAGCAGTGCACGATTGCTACTGCAACCATGCACAAACCTCCAAATACACTGAATATATACTATGTAGTTTCTAGAAAATCCGAACTGCTCTGCAGTCACTCAGAGCAGATCCCTGGCTGCCTGAGAGAAGAACCCAGGGAGGGAAAGATTACGAAGCGACAAGGAGGCTTTTAGGGTTGATGGATATGTTCATAATCTTGGCCGTGGTGAATGGTTTCACGGGGAAAACATGTCAAATTGCACGCTTTAAATATGTGTAATTTACTCTGTGTCAGTTATATCTGATGTTTTTAAAAAGAAAAGGTCCTCTGGTCCGGCGCCCAGAGTCCCCCAGCTGGGAAGCTGCCAGGCGCAAGTGTGGAGCAGCAGTCGGCAAGCTCAGGCCCGGCTCCCGCAGGAGGGCGGCTCCAGGTGGCGAAGAAAGTGCCGGAAGGCGCGGGGCCCAGCGCGGGCCGCAGTTAATCATTAGCCGGGGGAGGCCCGAGCTCGGCCCCGCCCCGAAGCGCCCCCTGCGCTCTGCCGAGCTCGCCCTGCGCCGCCACCTGCTGCCCGCGCGCAGACATGGTGAGCGGGGTCGGGCGGGGGGCAGCGGGAGGGAGGAGGGGGGTCCTCTGAACGCTCTGTGCAGACCCCGCGGGCTGGCCGACCGTGCCCGCCGGAGACCCTGGCCACAGAGGGGCGGTGGCGGGCGGGCCTGGCCGGGCGGAGCCCGCGCTTAGTCTGATTCCTGGGCCAGGGCTCTCTCAGTCGCCGCGCAGGGAAGGGCTCAGCGATCGGCAAGGTGTGGGACGGAGGGCGGGAGGCCGAATATGTGAGTCGCTTGGAGTGCTAGTCACTGCCCACCCTGGATTGCCTGGCTAGCACCCACCCTCTGCACCCGAATGCTGTCCCCGGCTTTAGACCCCGCCTCTGCACCTCGATGGAGTCTGGCCCGCAGCAGGCGCTGATGGCTCAGGATCGTCCCTCCAGGCCGAGCTTCCGAGCTAGGCCGGGAAGCTTCAGCAAACAGCCCATTCAGGCCTTGGCGCCTGGTTGGAAGCAGTCAGCGACAGGAGGGAATTTGGACATCGAGGGCCCGGGGAGGGGTACTGAAGCCCCAAAGATGTGGGCTTGGGTAATGAGTAAGCCCTGCTCACGCAGCCCTTGGGGTGGATCTGGGCCTGATTTACTAAGCAAACAGGGCCCTTCCCCCTCTGACCCCAGAGCTCAGAGGGTTTGTCGGTCAGCCCCAGGCCTTGGGACTGCAGAGGCTCTAGAAGACGCTAGAAAGAAAGGGGAGCCCCCCTACCCGAGAGCTCAGCTGTACCACCAGCCCTCTGCCCAGCTAAGAAAATAAACAGTGGTTCTGATGCCTTGGCTGACAGGTGGTTGCCTGGATACAAGGACTCTGCAGCCACTGGAACTGGCTGCCTCTGGAAAGACACCCGTTTGTTGAGCCGTGCTGTGGATCTCTGCTGCCCCCTTTGCAGCCACACACAGCTAGAGCTCAGGACTGGAGAGGGGCGGGGCCCCCTCAGTTCAGAGAGCCAGCTCTAGTTCTCAGGAGGGAAAGGCGACTGACTTCTAAGACTCTGGCTACCCCATGCTGCAGGCCTTCACAGGCCTCCTGTGATTTTAGAAATGCAAATGACATTTGCTTAACACCATGCTGTTCACTAAAGTATCCCCTGGGCACCCCTTGAGGATCTGTAAGGCAGAGGTCCTTGTCCCTCTACCCACAAAGCAAAAGAGACAAGCACCACAGTCCTGCTACTCACGCCAGGGTGCCCAGTCTGTAGGCTGCTTTGTAGACTAAATTCGCCTCCTGCATGCTCTCTCCAGACCTGATTGGTTTTAAATTAAGCACTGTGTCCCCATTGCCCTGATGTGCTTCTGTCATGGGAGCCCAGGCTCTGGGGTCTGTCCCTTCACCTCCTCTACCTGAATTCCCCCAGAGGATAGGCCTGACCCTGGCCTCCTGGGCTCCTCTGAGCAGAACTTTGCTACTTTCGGCTGCCTTGAGGGCACCTGGCACTGCAGGCCAATAGCACGGGGCACTGAGGCTGCCAATTGCCCTTGGACCAGTTACTGCCCAGCTCCCCAACCTGCCAGGAGACAGAAAGTCCAACAACCTAGACCTAGCTCGGGGCAGTGGCTGCAATTGAGGACCCAGGGGAGGTAGTGCCAGTGGCTGTTAACAGCAGTGGGGTTGAGCCACCCGGAAACCTGCTTTAAATGCTGGACGCAGACACACAGACCATGCTGAGAACCTGCCTGTCTGTGCGTGACTGACGTGACTGACAGGTGAGTGAGAGAACGCCAGACAGTTTCTGTCACTGCTCCAGGTGTGCGCTTCTCTTCGGCGGTTAGGCCTGAGGTGGACAGGATACACTACATCATAGGCAGAGAGAGCTTGGATGCTTGCGACACTTCCTGCGAGGTTGGGTTGTAATGCATTTGATCTGGGCTGGGTTTTGCTTTTACTCCCTCACTGATCTTAGCTGGGGGGCCCTCTATGAGGCTTTGGTGGGGCTTCCCTCCCAGTGATTGGCATTACACGTCCTTTGAGAGTTTCTCGGAGGGGACTGTACAACCCAAAACTTGAAGGCCTATTGGTGAACAAGTGGAGTCCCCACCTCCTGGACAGGGCAGCACCCTGGGAACTCTTGGTCCACTGCTTAAAGACCCACTGCCCCTATGATAGGTCACCTGTGACTGTCACAGCAGACCAGGCTGGCTAAATTCCCTCAAGGGTCTGGGACCCTGTTTTGACCTCTAAAAGGAAATGCCCTGAGGCCTGAGTGCTCTTCTTCTTCCAGGCTGGCAAAGCCCACAGGCTGAGTGCTGAGGAGAGGGACCAGCTGCTGCCCAACCTGAGGGCTGTGGGGTGGAACGAGCTGGAAGGCCGCGATGCCATCTTCAAGCAGTTCCACTTCAAAGATTTCAACAGGGTATGTTGGGGGAGGGGACAGTGTGCAGAATTGTTCCTGCTCCAAGTCCTGGTGGCCAAGCCCGACTGACCACACTAGTCTATGTGGGTGCTTTGTGGGAAATTCACTTCCCTGAATCACTGCGGAGTGTCAGAAAGATGGTGCTGGGGCCTTCCCTACCTGGGACTTTTAGAAACAACCCTCAGAGGGCACAGTTCAGGTACCGAACAGGTGTACATCAAATGACATTTTAGTGGATAGCCAAAAGGTTGGGGAGACTTTAACCTCCTGTGCTCTTCACCTTGTTAGTGACCCTAATGGGACATTCTTTCTGCTGCAGAGACAACCTCTGACTCCAGCCTGGGGCCAAGTAGTGCCCTGGGGAAAGGACTAGAGCCAGGGACTGTCACTGTAGGAAGCAAGTCCATCCTCCCGTGCCTGGGCTTACAGTGGCCATAACAAGGTACCCGGGCATCTCTTCTCTCAGAACACTAAGCTGGGTCTTGCTTCACTCGAACAGGCTTTTGGCTTCATGACCAGAGTGGCCCTGCAGGCTGAGAAGCTGGACCACCATCCTGAATGGTTTAATGTATACAACAAGGTGAGTGGGGCTGGCACCCTCCTGTGCTCCACCCCATCCAGTTCTGAGAATGTTGACAAAGAAGGTTCTGACTGTGGGCCTGCCTCACCCTCTCGCTCTGTTCATCTTCCTCAGCTCAACATAAACACCCTCCCAAACTGGCAGTCTCACTACAAACTAAGGAAATGCAAATTGTAAAGCTTTGAGTATGTGTACTTGAAGTAGACACGAAGAAGTCAAAAGCCAAGATGGGCAGTGCTGTGCGAATAAGATACACTTGTTGCTAACAGCTCTAAATGGCTTTAATCTTTCTGGAGGTAGGGAAGAATGAAATAGGAATAAACTGGGAACTCAAAATATCTATGCACAGCAAACAGATTGCTCAATGAACTGAGGAACAGTCATTAAATGCCTCATGTGCCAAGAGCGCTGCTGGACTGTTTATAAAAATGTTAAGGGTGGACGAGGGCATCTGTGAACAGACAGCGGTGAGTGGTCAGCAGTGGTTTTTGGTTTTGCCTTTAACTCAGTTGCTCCTGACATCTGAAGTCCCACCAAGGGGAGCTGTAGTACACACAGACCTGTCAGGCGCACAGGTACCCAGTACAGATGGTGGTGACCAGATGCTATGCTCTGGAGAGTACCATAGTAGTGACTGGCTACTGTCCCAGGAGAGAGCCCAGCGATTGGCTACTGTCAGTGACCATCTGCTACTCTGGAGCTCTCACTGGGGCAGAGCCCATAGCTAGCAATTGTCTGCCACTCTTAAGTAAAGTCAGTAGTCGGCAGGCCCCAAACTTCTGGTTTCGTTTCAGGTGCACATCACCCTGAGCACCCATGAATGTGCGGGCCTTTCAGAACGGGACATAAACCTGGCCAGCTTCATCGAACAAGTAGCAGTGACCATGACATAGACCCCGCCCTTCTTTGCATTCCCAGGGGGAGGGGTGGCTGAACTGGACACAGGGAGGGAACTGAGAGCCCCCCCACACACACACTCGCTGCAGTTAGAACTGCCACACTGACCCTGCTGCCTCCATTTAGGGGTGAGTTTCCACTGCACAAAGATGCCAGCGTCACTGCCAACACCAGGAACAGCCCTTTTCCCCAAGCTACTCTCCTCACCTGTGGAGCTTTGTCATTTTCACTACTCTGAATAAGTTCTCCCTTCTTTGCAACTTCCTGGCAACCCTAATGGTGTTCTTTGTAATGGTGTTCTTTTCAGGCTGGGTCTCACCCCCTTTCCAATTCATTTACCAAGCCGCTGTAAAGGGTGAAATAAAACCCTGTCGTAGAATCCAGGACCCTAAAGCAAATCCCATGTCTCAAACATATGCTTTGATGTTGCCAATAAAACTCATTATATCACTGGTCTCAAACTCTAGAAACTTCTTTCCCACAGGTCAATTCAAATTGGAATCAACAGGCATTTAATTAGCTTTTTGCTGTGCGTGTGTGTGTGTGTGTGTGTGTGTGTGTGTGTGTGTTACTGATTGGACCCAGGGCCTTGCACATTCGAGGCAGGACTCAGCTACTAAGCTACACTCTGGCCAACAGGTATTTAAATGAAATCACTTACTCTGTGCAAGGTATTGGGGAAAAGGGAGGGAGCTGAACATCCTCCCTTCAAGGTTCTTATTGTCTAGGAATCCAACAGGAAAACCATTAGCTACTAGTAGGATAAACTAAGTTAATGCAGATGGCAGAAGAAGAAATGACCTTAGGAAACATAGGGATTTGTGTGACAAGGAAGATTGAGTTATGCTTCAAAGACCTGACTAGGATTCTTGAAAGGTAGCCCCTTGTGGTGGTGCATGCCTGTAGTCCCAGCACTCAGGAGGCTGAGGCAGGAGGATCACCACAAGTTGGAGGCCAGCCTGGGCTATGTAGTTAAGTTCAAGGCCAGTATGAACTACATAGGAAGACCCTGTCTCAGAACAAAACAGAATAGCTGTTCTTACTGAGAAGGCAGGGTAAATGATTTATTCTCTCAGGGCATGGTGGCACATGCCTGTAGTCCCAGCACACAGGAAGCTAAAGCACAAGAGTCACCATGAGTTCAAGGCCAGCCTGAACTACATAGTGAGACCCTGTCTCAAAACAAATGAACATACAAACAAACAGGATCCTGAGACTCAAAGGTGGTTGACAGGGCATCATGAACACAGGTAAAGGCATATAGGGCATGGAATCTATATCTAGAAAGGGAGCACAGGGTTGTATTGTTTTCTTCATATAGTGACAGTTGTTTGGTTTTTCAGACAAGGTCTCTCTACGTAGTTCAAGTTGGCCTTGAACTCACTATGTAGCCCAGGCTGGCCTCAAACTTGCAGTGATCCTCCTGCCTCAGCCTCCCAAGTGCTGGGATCATGGACATTCACCACCACATCTGGTACAGTTACAATTAATTTTATAGGTTGACTTGACTGGGCTGTGGGTGTCTAGATAGGTGGGCAAACATTATTCTGGTTTTGTCAGTGTGGATATTTCTGGATGAGATTAATATCTGAACCGCTATCTAGTAAAGCAGACTGCCCTCCCTAATGTTAGTGGGCCTCATCCAATCAGCTGAAGGCCCATACAGAACAAAAGGGCTGGCCCTCCCTCAAACAGTGCACAACTCCTGCCTGACTGCCCCATGCTAGGCTATCAGTTTTTTCCAGCCTTCAGATTCAAATTAAGACACCTGCATTTTGTGGGTCTGAAGGCTGCAGGTACCTGGACTAGAACTACACCACCAGCTCTCCTGGGTCTCCAGCTTGTCAAGTGCAAACAGATCTTGGGACTGGTCACATGAGCCCATGCCTTATAACCCCCTCTTCCTCACCGTATGTATTGGCTGTTTCTCTGGAAAACCCTAATACACTGGCCTAAGCCTCAAAGGGGAGATTTCTGATCCTGATGGTGTCTGCAGTTCTCAAAATCTTATCAAAGGTCTTGAGCTCACCTGCCTTTGCTCTATAAACAGAGGACAGAAGCTCAGGTAGGGGCTGGCAGGCTTCATACCATCCGAGCAGTCAGACTGGTCTGCATAGCTCGGCCTTCAACCAGCAGCTCTAGGACAGAAGCCTCCCTCCCACAGATGTGCTATCACTGAGGGGGTACAGACAGCAATCTCTACTCTACCCCATGTGTGTGCCACACACACTACCTCGCATGTGCCCGAGGCAGACAGGAAGCCCTTCTCCCAGCAGCTCTCAACCAATGACCTTTAGCCTGAAGCCCTGCCTGGGCACCGAGGTGACAGGCAATGGCACGCTCACCTGGAGCAGGCGTCTTGCAAGGCCACAACCCAGCCAGCTAGGCTGAGGTGATCCCTCAAGGGCCTTAAAAAAGAGGCAGAGGTTGATGGTTGAGAAGTAAAATTGTCAAGAGAGCTGGCAGGACCCCAGCCTGACCCATAAATATTTACATTGATGGCAATTCTCTCCACCATCAAGATCTTAACATCAAGTCCAACAAGACTCAGTGCTCTCCTACCTGCTCCACTTCTAACTTAAACTGTTCTAGGCATGCTTTGATCTAAAAGCTGACAATCAGAGTAGAAGATGCCACACACGGAAGTAAGGTCCATGCTATGTTGCCTTTCTGCCTTTGCTACTATCATGGATCAAGGACTGAAAATGCCAGCCTTGGCATTTGTATGAGACACTTTTATGTGGGACAAAGACATCAGTGACACTTTTCAAAAATAAACAGCTTTATTCTAAAAGTGATCCAAGTAACTGCAATTATTAGGGAAGATATTAAGTAGAGAGGATACTATAACAGGGACAAAACCTTAAATGGAAGTAGTTGAAGTAAGGCTTCAAATCAAGGAAAGGCAGTCCAAGCCTGACTTGCCCACTTGCAGTAGAGCTGGTGGCTATTAAATGAGGTGTCCGTCATCACTTCTGTCAAGCTGGGTCCAGGGAAACACTGCTCAGTGGTGCTAAGAGCCCACAGAGAAAGCAAAGGGGCTTACAGCAGAAGGGGCAGCACCAGCACCTCAAGGGCTACCTGTCAGGTCAGCCCAGCCCAGCCTCCCAGTGCGAGCACATGCTGGCCTCTCTTTCTCAGGGTGTGCAGGTGCTCAGGGCACCAAGCCATTTGACAGGAAACACAGCAAAGACATCATTCCTTGCCTTCTTTCTAGAAAACCCTGAAAGGGCTGAAAGCCAGAATGAAAAGACAGTTACCTGCATGGCAGCTCTCAGATCCTGACTAACTGTGTGGGGAGCCTCTGCTTTCTTATTCAGAATGAAACAAGATACCCAGCAGTTATGCATGTGAAGATCATCTGAGGCGCTCTCCCAGGCCCCACCCATATACTATGCTTGAAGGCAGTGTGTCCTTTGGTCAGAGAGAGCCACATCCCATGCTGGCCAAAGACCACCCAGATGGCTTACTCCATCAGTAAGTTAAAGCAGAAGATGGCAGAAAACATAAGACAGGGCCATTTTTCTGGGAAACTAAGGCCCTGAATTCCAGTCTGCCCCAAAATAGCCACAGTGACCACTCCTGGTGGAGAGGGATTGATCAGCTATCTACTAACATGCTTGGAGATTAGCTAGATTGAAGACGGCTTGGGTCTCTTGGCCCTGGCATCAATGCTCACACACAACGATTTCCCCAGCAGGGGGCGATCTTTCATCAGCAGCCCAAGTAAATGAATGCAATCATCCACAGCCAGTACAGTTTGGGATATTTAATTATTTAATTGCTATTTAAGAGATTATTGCTGCAATTAGGAAAGGAGCATGCAGACAGGGAGGGAGAAGTTAGAGAAAAGACTGAAGAGAGTCAAGTACCATTTTCCAAGTATAAAATGGGGTGCAGAGGCCAATCTGACATCTGCTAGCAACATGATACCATTAAGACACCCTACCTATCTGCCACAAAACAGGGACTTTGTGCTTTCACACACAAATACATACAAAAGTAAAAGCCTACAAAAGCATTAAATCAAACCAAGGCTCTTAATCAGAGATAAAAGCGTCTACTGTAGGTCCCTTTTAAAACACCATCAGCACCTGGCACTAATTCGCTCACAGCACAGAGGAAGGAAAGAAGCGGCTCAGGGCTGGTCCTGGGGAGACTGCAGGGCACAGGCTTCTATTTTAGCCGCCGCAGCCACAGCAGTACCTGCGAGGGCTCTGGGTCTCTGGGCCTCCTCCAACATGATGCACTGGAGACCAGAGACAACTGCTTCACAGCTTAGATGGCAGATTCTCTCTTGAGGAGGTACCTGCCAGTCCAGAAACCGAAGGAAGCATGAGTCCTGTGTTCTAAAGGTCTCTGCCCCTCCCTGACATATACACATATCAACTGTCCCCAGTTGATATGTTGAGCCCCACAACACAGTGCAGAGTGAACAGGAGGGCTGCATATATGCATGCACGTACCACACAAGCTCTGCAGGGGCGTGGCCCTCAGGGAAAGCCTGGTGGCCGTGGTGCTTCCAGCCAGCATTCCCACTGAGGGGCCAGACGGCAGAGTCTGCAGAGGCTGCATATTCAGGAGTCCCTGAGAAGGGGAAGGGAGCAAAGTTCCTCCTCACTTGTTCTAAGTTCTCTCCAATTACACAGAGACCTTAAAGTCTGGTCCACTTCCCCTGGGGCCGGACCCGGAAGCTCACTGTGGGGAGAAAGGCACACGGTATGTCACTGGAGCGGGACAGTGGCTCGGCCTAGATCAGGGCCCCCAGAAATGGAGAAGAGAGTAGGAAGTGGGTGCAGCATTTTGTCCTGTCCCTGAGCAACTGGGGCCAGGGTCTGCTCGCTGCCATACTAGCCAATTTGCAAATGTTTAGCTAATCCTGCACTGCTCCCTTTTAGCTGGGGCTGAGCAGTGTGCAGCCTGAGAGTGAACTGCCAAAGTACCTTTGGAAGCCGAGCAAAGGGAAATGGGCAAGAACACACAAATGCGGGAAAATGTTCCCTGCACTCTCCTCATACCCACCTAGGGTAAGTGAAGGCAACTTGTGGAGGTGCTCTGAGCTCTCCCTTCAGAGAACTCACGCTCAGCCCGTGACTTAAGGCTTAAGGCAATGGGAAGAAGCAAAGTTCTGCCACCAACTCTGGTGACACAGAATTGAAACTGGACGCTCACCGACGCTGACATTCAGGTCGTACACAAAAGGTCTGGTGTCTGTTCACTGTAAGTCCAGGAGAGGGCTAGGTGTGCTCTCACCACTGCCCAATTCAAGGAGGCAGCACCACAGGCGGGAAGTCCTAGATTCTCTGACAACCATGTTCTTGTCCTATTCTATAGAAACAAGGAAATGGGAGCATCACCTCAAATAAGCATCTCCAAAGACAGTGGCAACTGAGCATCCAATGGGGCTTTGCAAGCACAGAGGAGGACCAGTGGAGCACTGTAACCCCTGCCAGGGGCTACCGAGTGGACCGGCTCCCTCACATCACAGAGTACAACACGGCCAATCTGTGCCCTGGAAAAACAGAGCAAGTCGCAGTGAAAGTGACTCTACCAGAGACATCTGACCTACTCTAAGCACAGGGCTGAAAAAGCCTCCCACCTGGGATGCACCAAACACTCGCCTGGGAAGCACGGTTACATACGTGCTTCCCGCATGGCTAGCTAAAGCCTCTGCCTGGGTAACAAACCCTCTGTGATCTCAGAGCTTCCCTCCAGGTCAGAGCCACCACACAATGATTAAGTGAAGAAAAAAACTAGAGAAGTTAAAGAAGGAAATGGTTAAGACAATTCCTACCACTACATTTATAACAAGGGTAGGTTCATTATACAGTAAAATCCTTCAGTCTTCAAATTTAAAACCACAAAAGGTAACAAAAGGAGGAACAAGAATCCGGAGGCTCGAGCTGTCTTGTGGCCTATCTTTGTGCTCTGTGGAGCAAGACTGAATGTTGAAGTTGTGGGTGGCCTATTCCATACCCAGAGAACATTCTGAAGGCCAGGAGTCCTCTGGAACTAGAAAAAGCCCCAGCTCAGCGGGGTTTTGGAGAACCATTCATCTGGCTGCCCTGGGTCACAGCGTCCGTACTGTACAAGCTGTCCAAGTAGACTGAAGAGATTTCCGCAACCAGGTCCCTGTCAACGATTGCCTGGGACATGCCATAGATGGCACCCTACAAAGCCAATCAAGGATAAATTAGTGATGACTAGTACAGAAACAAGGATAAAGCTGTGGTCATGATCCCCTCAGCCCCTAGTCCTAGCTTTCGAAGTGTAACACCCCTGCCCACTCCCCCAGCAGGGCTTATTCTATTAGAAAAACAGCTGGCAGTAGCAGAGTTCTCACAGGTACTTTCCAGTCTGCCTTTCTATATAAAGGAACTATTCTGTGGAAGTTGCTGGTGGAAAAGCCTGAAAAAAACATGTTTATAATCTTTTCTACGTCAAAAATTTCTTTTCAAATGGACGCTATCACCTACTTTTGTACAGCAGTTTCAGATTCATGAGGTGCTTTACATATAGTACATCTCATACGACATGCTCATCAACCCTCGGAATGGGTGAGGCAAGGGTCACTGGCAAGAACGAACCAACAAGAGAGTTTTGCAGATAATGGGCTCAGGCAAGAACAGCTTCCAATTGTCTGATTCTCTCAAACTCCCACACCAACACCTAAATTTCCAAGGGGGGAAAATCTGCAAGTGTCTTTACCATTCCTGTGACCTTTGCTTTACAATTCTTCATGATCTGGGTGACAGATTCCCGGACATCCTTTAAGAACTGGGTCGCTACTCGCTTCCGTGTATGTACTAATGTGATGCAGATATGAATGCTATGGAAGAAGAAAGAGAGATGAAGCTTGAAAACAGAAAAAGTGTTTTAAAACAGAGCAGTTCCCAATTTACTGGCTGCCTCTTCAGATTATTTCTACTGTGCCAGTTCTTGGAATCAGGGCTCTCCAATACTGGACTTGGTTTTGCCAGGCATGGGCTTGTTATCAGGGCTTCTCAACATGCTCAGGAGCCATCGTAAGAGAATAAACACAGCTGGTTTTTCGTCCCATACCTTACAAGTACCAATCAACAACTGCTTCTACCATGCAACCACCAATGGGATGCTTATCTTAGATGATAAGCCCTCATGGGGACAGGACTGTACAGTTGGGGCCTTAAAGGCAATGAACAAACTCACCCTGGAGGGAAGATGGATCACAGAGGATTGTGGGGAGGGAAAGGGAAAGTCCAGATGGGGCTGGCAATAACAGCAATGAAAAAGTAATCTGTTGTACAAAAGACGCTGACCTGGCCCACTCTGCTGGAGTGGAGGATTTAAAGGCACCTTAGAAGATTCAGTTAGAAAAGCAGACTAAAAAACTCTGTACCAGACCTGAATCCTCAGGTGCCTTCTTGAGGGTTCTGAGTTAAATATTACCCAGGTAATAAGTACCTTATATGAGCAATTTGATGGCTGTGTACAAAATGGATTGGAAAATTACACAAAATAGAGAATGAGGAAGAAACCTCTTAAATAAGCACTTTTCTCAGGAGGCTCGCACCTCATTCTGCCAGACGTGAAAGCTAATAGTCTTGCTCTATACATCTAATTATTCCAGATGGCAAAAGAGAAGTTGCTACTGAAGGGCTGGGTTCTTCCAGGTAAACGCTGTGCATCTGGTTACCTTGCTCCCCAAGTTCTGTAAAAGCCATGGACCGAGGTAAGAGACAGGTCCTTCAAGCATACCTGGGTGGGAACTGCAACTGGTTCAAGCTCCACCCCTTAGCAGTCATCAAGTTAGATAGCCGGTAGATGTCAAAATCATGGGAGCCCAGCGAAATGACCGACACCTGAGGATTCCCAAAAATGAAGATGCCTTTGATATTTTCCAGTCTGAAAACACACAAACAGGAAATTCAGCCACATTATGTTCACTACTCAATGATTCTTTAATCATGTGAAGTCCTTCATATAACCAATCTAGCCTTCCGAGGTTTCAGTCTTCTCACCTACACTAAAGAGGGTAGGCCGAGATCACAGTTCTATGGAGATCAGAACCATGGATGGACATTAGAACTATCCAAAGGCCCAAACTCCAACTAGACCTAAGGAATCAGACCCACTGGCTTCTATCCATCTACCCAACTCCTGAGTCCCGTGCAGAGAAAGGAACCTTCTCCTCCTGCCTGCACCAACTCCTAACCCACTGTCCTAAGCCCTTGGTCTCTCAGGAGATAGCCAAGTGGGCTAGGATTAGAGTGTGCAGCCAAGCAGCCGCCTTGAAAGGCTGACTCGTGGAAAAAGAGACAAAGCAGAACGCCACCATCCATACATACTCAGATCTCAGGAAGCGAGCAGTTTTGATGATCTGTTTGGTAGCTTCAACATAACCACTCTCACCGAAGTGCATCAAGGTGGCCCAACAAGCTGCAATGATGCCACCTGGCCTGGAGCCTGCAATGGTTGGTGAAGCGTAGATGCCACCCGGCCAATCTGTGCTAATGAAGAACTGGTACTTCCTGTATTTCTTGTCACTGTACAACACCACTGATGAGCCTTTGGGGGCGTAGCCATACTGGGAAAGAAGCAGATGGTAAGAATGCGGCTGTACCTGGCAGGCTCCAGCCGAGTGCACCACTTACTTATTAGATCTTGGTGATGTTTCTCACCCACATTAAGGGCTCAGATTAGTGACCAAGAGCAGAAGGAACTTAAGGGACAGAGTTTAGATTCTCTGTCATGAGTAAGAAAGGGAAGAACAGCATCTTGCTCAGTTAATGGTTTCCTTCCTCTCTCACCCAACATGCTGCTTTCCTTATTTAAAATCTTTCTCTGGGGTGGTCAGTCAGAGTAGAAACAAAGATAACTTCTACTGAAAGCCTGGCAAGAATGGAATCCATACCACCTGGAGCAACTAACATCACAGTCTGATTCCATCCCATCTTTTCTGCTCAACGTTATACATCTTTATAAGAATATAATGGTGCTCAGAATCCAAAAACACCTTAATCCAGCCCAAAGATATACTGTGTAATTGGTTTCCTCACAGAAAATGGGCCCTCCTAATTAACTGAAGCTAACATGCAACTATAATTTCATTCGTAGGCCCACACGGACACGGATTAAGGGAAAAGGGCATAAAAGTGGTCTCGGTGGTAAGGCGAAACAGATTTTGAATAAAAAGTTATCACAGATCATTTAGAGTTTAAAAAACTAGTCATTGCTCTCACTTAAAAGAAATTCTGAAAATACAATCAAACAAGGGACACACAGCCAAGCATGGTAGTGCATGCCTGTAATTTCAGCACTCTGAGAGGCTGAGACAAGAGGATCACAAGTTCAAGCTGTCTGAACAACTTAGCGAGATCCTGTCACAAGATGAAGACTAAGTCAATGCAAAGGACCTGCGTTCAATGCCCAGTATCCCCAAAACAAAACAAGGCACACATTCCTGAGGCTTCCAGTACTACTCCTTCGTGTGGGTATATTTTCAAAAGAGTCTCCAACTGATCTAGACTTCAGTCCACTGAGGGTGGTAGGCCCAGACATTTCAAACACTGTAAGCCTGAGCATAGGGGCTTCCTTTCCCAAAGGACTGCTCTACCAACACACTTCTGTCACTTGGGCACAGGGGCCCCAAGCGGTGGTGTTAAGAGCTGCTCTCTTCAAATTCTAAGATCAACCCTCACCTTCTCCCCAGCCACCTCCAATAAGCTCAGGCTTTAGGAAACTTTGTCGTAAAGACCTTAGGCTGGCAGACTCCAGGTGAACACCGTCAGCACCACGGAGATTTTCACAGCCAATGGGACAAAATTAACAGCCTCCTTTTCACTACTGCTTTTCATGTTTACCACTATATCCCATCATCTGAATAGCTGATGAGATGAGGGAAAAAAGTCAGATTTAATTTTATGCTTTGGGTGGAAGGTAAGGCTTTAGCCAACTTATTTTGTGGGCAACAGTTAAAATAACCAACTGTCAGCATTTTGTCTACTCCTTAGCTCACCTTATGGGTATCGGCTGAAATGCTGGTCACACCTTTTACCCGGAAATCGAAAGGTTTCTCCAGTGGATATCCCGCTTTCTCCATAAAGACAATGAGGAAACCCCCCAGACAAGCATCTACATGGAGAGGTATTTTGTATTTGACGGCCAGCTAGTTTCAAAAAACAAAGAAAACAGAATTTCATTTAGGAGCTCTATAATAAAAATTTTGCAGGACATGGGTGGAAATTGCTATGACCACAAAGCTATTCTGTACTGTGTCTCCCATGTGTGAAAAACAGGCTATTTTTGACATTCCTAAGAAACTTTATCCTTCAATTGTACTTAGCCTTCAAAATAATCCACCCATATTGTGATATCGTTTACTTAAGTGTTCATGACCTCGAACTCCCTGCACCAGCAGGCAGAAAGTGAGCAGAGATCTGACACAGGCAGCCTAAGACAGAGGGAAAGGTCCTCTGAGTCCCTGCAAGGGGTGAGGGGAGGTGCTGTGCAGCCCCCTACAGATGGCTCACTCCTAAACGCACAGTACTTCCTGATCTGAATCTAAAACTCAAAACCATTTCAGAATATCTACTTAGAAGACAAGCCGCGAGTTCATATTACCCCTCTCCCAAAGCAGAAGCTAGTGACTTTCAAAGGCTCTGAACAGAGCGGCAGGGCTTACTCTAGGGCTAATAACAGCTAGTCATCACTGCTATGGTTAAATCTAAAATTCAAAACTTCTTCTACTCGCCAAATACTGCACCACTAGATTCTATTTTAAAATCTCATTCCACAGTGGCCCACAGTGGCCCAATTCTCTCATCACCTTGGCTACTTCCGGGATAGGATCTATCACACCATGAGGAAACTGTGGCGCAGAGCAGACGAGCATAGCAGTGTTCCTGGAGATGGCTCTTCTCATTGCCTAGGAATTTAAGTTCAAAGAAAGAAAATGAGAATCTAAGTCAGAGTTATTCTTCTCTTCTGCTGCCTGAGAGCAGTCAGGGTCACTAATTTAAGAGTTCTGGGTCCACTAGTGCCACCATTATCACAGCAGCCTAGGAGAAGACTGCCTCCTACAAGTGGGCAGGACACAGATCCCCAGACAGACTCATCTGTGGAAATCAAGAGCATAAAATAAGAACAATACAACCACTGCGTGTGAGGGGACAGTATGGAGCTAAGCGGCAAAAGAGCCAAATGTTAAGTCCCAGCCAACTAGCACTGAGACCCTAAGTGAATGGCTTCACCTCCGCTGTGAAATGCAACATTAACAGGTTTGACAACCTCCATGGACCTCCTTAAGGTTCAAATGTAATTCTGGTAACACTCTCAAACTATGAAGTTCTTCCGCAGAAATGTGCGACATAAAAACAATTACTATTATGATGACAATGGTATTGATTCAGGTAAATCAAAACCACAGTTGAGGGGCTGGGGATTAAGCTCAGCGGCACAGCACCTGCCTGGCAAGTGCAAGGTCATGAGTTCGATTTCTGGTACCGGAAAAAAAATCAAAAACCAAAAAAAAAAAACAAAAAACCCACAGTTGAGTCATAAAGCAAGTTCATTACTGCTCATTTTATAAATGGGGAGGGTGGTGATGGTATTTAAAGTAAAAAACAGGTCTTTAACATCCCAACTCGGACTACACAATCTGGCTGCTACATTCTATGCCAGTGGAAGGCACCCATGTGTAACCCGAAAGGGAGTCACTATGACCTAGTTCCGTCCCCGCCTCTAGAGGACCTACCCGCACGTCCACCTCCATCATCTTGTTCAGAGGGACCCGGACCATCTTCATCCCAAAGTAACGGGCTGCTTTGTCGAATGCAGCATGGGCACTTACGGGAGCCACTCTAGATGACGGAGAAGAAGAGGATAACGAAATCAGACCAAAAGCGGACACAAGGAAGTATAAAGCTGGCAGCTAATCTACACCTTCAGCAGTAAACTTCTGATTATTTCTCCGCAAATTATTGTAAGTGCTTACATCATTTTCTTTCTAACTGTAAACAAAAAGAGGACAGCTAACTTCCTGTAGACACCTTCTCCCTACTACTTAGAAAATCATTTTGGCAACAGGAACAAAAACTCAGAAATAATTCAGTAGGGAGGGATCCAAAGCATAAATGAGGCCCGACAGTATGAAGTCCAGGGATGAGGAATGGATCAGCAGTACAAGCTTCCTGACACAATACATGTTCCAACAGGAATGTGGGGCTGCTTGGCAGGGACATTAATGCAGCAGTGAGGCATTAGGCCGATGGGCCCCTCTAACTCTGGAAGATCACGAGTCTACGAGACCAAAATCCCTATTTCTCCTACACACTTGGAAGTAGTATTTCAGATAGTGTGGGAAAAGGAAATAGTGTCACAGGCACATATTTGCTTTCAGACTCCCCTCAATTATTCTACCCTTATCATTACTCTGTTCCTTTTAAGAGAAAAAAACTCTATAAAGTTCCAAGCACCAAACATTTACACAGAAAGCAAGAATGGTAGAATGATTTATTATATGCTAAGCATGAGAGTCATACATTATATCCATATGGAATAAGACTGCCAGTGACCAAACCACAGCCTGCATCCAGGACACACTTCGGTGCATGCTTAACCTACCTCCCAACACGATTATGGAATATGGGATATAAAACTCACACTGACAGCATCAAGTACGTGTTGGGGTGCTGCAGGGCACAGGCCCCTGAACTTAGCAGAAGTAGCTCCGAGGTTGGGCCCAGGGGCACACAGTTGTACAGGAGATTGGCTTGTGGGAAGGAGACAGACCAGACAAGCCAGTCCCTCCATGGCTTCTGGCCACTCTGTGCAGGTGTTGTTTGCGAGGCTTCTTGCCTCACTGCACCGTCGGGTGCTTTATGGCAGAGAACCCTTCCACAGAACCCAGTTTCACTGCCTACACTGGCTTGATTTCTGTAGGCTGTCTTGCCTTTCCCATGCTAATCACTATCTGAAAAAAGTCAAAGCACTTTTCTTTTTTTTTTTTTTTTTTTTTTTTTTTCGGTACCGGGAATCGAACTCACGACCTTGCGCTTGCCAGGCAGGCGCTTTGCCACTGAGCTAAATCCCCAGCCCCCAAAGCACTTTTCTTTTACCTGGCTGTTTTTTAAAGATAATTTCACTGAATAATAAAGTCCTCTTCCCTGCCCATAAAAAAAAAAAGAGTCATAGGCTGAGGCCTTGAGCAACTTAAAAAAAAAAACACCTTAGTCACTGACTGCTGTAGAAAACAATTAACTCAAAAAAGTGTAGTGTAAGCACACTGTACAGGAGATGGTCTAGAGAAAAAAAAAAATATGCAACCAACCACCGAAAGTATACCCACAGGTAGCAACAATCTCCAATAGATTTTTAAAATTTTCCCTCCTTGAAACAGGCCTCAGACTTGTATTTTCCTAGGAAACACTCCAATGCAGCATACAATATTCAAGAAATGCACTGAATTAAAGATAATTACAGTTTTCCTTAGGCTCCAGATAACTTATAGTAATTAAAAAAAAAAAAAAAAATCACAAGCCAGGCATGGTGGTGCGCACCTGTAATCCCATCAGTTGGGAGGCTATGGCAGGAGGATCGCCAGGAGTTCAAGGCCACCCTTGGCTACACAGTGAGTTCAAGGCCAGCCTATACTATAAAACAAGACCAAAAAAAAGAAAAAGAAAAAAAATCACAGGATACAAAGCCATAGTCCTCTAACTCTCACTTCTGGAAAGAGAACCTTATTTCTGCTTGTAGTATACACCATATATAAACTTGCAAGACTGGAAATGATCTGTAGGATAACTGGCTTATCCATTTAGAATTCTGCCAAAGTAAAAGGTTCAGAAGGGTAGAAGGACCAGGGCAGGGGGCAAGAGAATAGCAACTGCTGTCAAAGAAAAGAAGTGGGGAAACATTACTAGGCCCAGTTCTACACAGCAGAACCCCAAATGGACAACTACAAAACAGGAAACGTCATACATACATTTCTGGAGTTTTGATCCCCTTCTCTAATGCCAGGTCCCGATAAGCTTTGCAGGCCATAAGGATGCTTTCTGTCCCCCCAGAGGTCACCTAAAATAGACATGTCATTTATAGTGGTAAGTTAGGGACAGATATCAGCATATACTCCCTGCCTTGATCTTGACAATGTTTGAACCTAAGAGAAATGAGGACTTGGATGTATGCTGCAGGCAGATACTGCTCTGTCTTCCAGAAGGAAAGCTTGGATTTCTTGCTAAGCCCAGTCTTAGTGCAGAAGAATAATGAAAACTAAGGAAGAATGAACAGGGCAGCAGCACTGTCTGGACAAATGCACATTTGCTCAGATCCAATCTGTTCATAATCCATGTACATTTCTGTATTCATCAATTTTCAGGTAAGATATGGCAATTTATACCACTCTGAAGTAGCAGGGTTACTGACCTTTTTTTTCAGTCCTGGACACGCTGAGCTATTGAGCTACACCCCCGCCCCCAGGACAGATTTCGTTTTAAAAGTTCAATGCATGTCAAAGAATATGAAATTGTGAAGTTACAATTCTAGTAAATTGTGTAAAACATTAGATCGGAGAAAGACACTCAGATTGGTTTTGACAAGTTTGAAAGCCAGAAAAAAGCAGAAGTCTCTACCTAGAAGTTGGTTACCTTACTTATCTGCAAGCCAAACAAAAATCCTTATTCTTTAAATGAAGTACAAGTTTTTCTAAAGGTAGGCCTAGCCTTACACAAATTTCTAACAGACAAATTTCTTTGCCAGAGTTCAAATGAAGACACAGAAGTCTTTTCAGTCATCCTATTTTCCTCCCTAGACAACACACATAGAAGTAGAGGCTGATCTATCTGTGACAATATTCCTAGCACTTAGCTTAGTAGCTGAGAACTAAGAGACCCTCAATGAACATGTCATCCCATCTGACAATCGGGAAACCATGACCAACACAAGCTGTCACAGCCACGTGGCTATCTTTTGATAACATCTGAGAATGAATTAATCCTGAAGCAAAGAAAAGGCTATCAACACTGAGTTAATAGGACATCTTTTTAAATTTACCATTTCCGAAAATTCAAATAATATTGGGTTTTTCTTTTCAAAGATGTGAAAAGTGCCTAAGCAATTCTTCAATATCACCTACTAGTATCTAGTGATAAAAAGTAAAACATTTTGTGTTTTGGTATTTAGTAAAGCATAAAATCTGATGGAATGAGAGACAGTGGTTATTACACTTTCCTGATATCCAAAAATATCATTGGATACAGAATCACAGTGATCAGGAGTTATATGGAAGATTACTCAGAAAAGTTAAGTCAAGTTTTGACTCAGGAAGTTGTCATGAAACATGTGACCTTCATCCACGAGATAACTTGTTTGTAGGTCTCTGCATTTCTATGTAGGGAAAGACAAAGTGCTTACAGTTGAGATCAGCTCTACACATCAGCACAGCCTGTGGTCTAGCATAAGACCTCAGAATATTACACAAGGAGCCAAGCCAGCTGTGAAGAAAGCCCCAAAAGAACCCACAAAGCCAAGTCTTCAGTTCAGCAATCTCTTACTGAAGTCTGGGAATGACCTAATAAGCAAAAGTATTTAGAAAGCCCTGGTCACTCACTTTATGTGCCTTATTGCCTACTTTCAGGCCAATAACTAACGAAATCAACATCATTATTTTTACACTGGGCAAACACCACTGTACTTCTGACTCTAAAAGCAGGAATACCTAACTTCTACTGCTAATTTTAAATTTCTGGGTTCAGTCCCCAGGACTGCAAGTAATTATATGATTATTGTAGGAAGATCTAGATTGAGTGTGATTTAAAAATTTAAACTAATTCTGTATTTAAAAATACTGTAACTCTCCCACTTCTCTTCACCCCTTATACCCAAAGGAAAAACAGAAACTGTGAAGAAAATGGCATCTTCGTTAACTATTTGTCATGTTAGTTGGGTTTATCCAACACATAGGTGAACTCTCAAACATATGTATTTCAGAAACTCAGAAATTTTCTTTCAGATCTCTTTGTACCTGCTGGCATTTGCACAAGCCAAGAATGTTCCACATGAGAATGAGTTTCTTTTAGTACATTGTTGCCTCTCATCCACTGTAACTGAGGCAAATGAAGTTAATAATAGGAAAGACAGTTTAAGGCTGAAAAACGAAGAGTGAGAAATGCTTAATCAGACCCTTTGTCAGGAGTAGGCTGGTCTTCTGGCATCCTACCTCTGAATGCTGAACTCTGTCTTCACCAAAAGCAGCTTCAGAGAAACAGAAATATAAACAGATCCTAAAGAAGGAGAAAAGGACAGAAGGAGACAGGAAAAAAGGGAGGGAGAGATTCAAATAATACCAGAGCTAACTAGTTTTCTTATGGAAGTCTAAATATTAAGAGACTAGGAATCAGACTCTAACTTTTCCTGATCCTGCCACAGCCATTAAGAAAGTCACAATGGCAGACATGACTGCACTACGGCGACTCAGAAAGCCTCCAAGGTTAGGTTTCCATATTAAGATGGAACACTGAAACTCCTCCACAGAGTTCCTTTCCCTTAATAGCTGAGAGAATGAATAAAAACTAAACAAACAGAAAGACTCAAAATCTGTAATAATAACTACCAAATAAAGAAAAAGAGATAATCTAATGCAATAAACTTCAAATACTGGAAATTGAGGAAAGGCAAGTGGGCACATCGGAGGGGAGGGGAGAAGAAGGGGATAAAGGGGAAGGGGATAACAGGACAAGAGGGCAGAGGGGAAGGAAGGTAAGGGGCAGGAGGAAAGGAGGGAAGGAGGGCACAGCAAGCCAGGCTCAGTGGTACAAACCTACAATCCCAGCTACTTGGGAGGCTGAGGCATAAGGATTTCAAGTTCAAGGAGAGCCTAGGCAACTTATCAAGATCATGTCTTAAATAGGAAGGAAGGGAGGCAGGGAAGGAAGAAGGGAGCAAATAGGCTGGGAATGTACTTCAGTGGTAGGGTGACTGCCTAGCACACACAGGGCCTTGGATTCAATCCCTAATATTGACAGGAAATGAAAGAAGGAAAGAAAGAAGGAAGGGAGGAAGGGAGGGAACAAGAGAAGGAAGAGAGGAAGAACGGAGGGAGAAAAGGAAGGAAGGACAAAAGAAAAAGAGAAAAGAAAAAAAGAAGAGAAGAAAAAAGACACAGTAATACACATAAGCAGCAAAAGCACAGTTAAGACAGTTCCTCACTGGCTCTGGAAAACAGGTACTGGGGAATGAGAAAAATCCTGAGAATGCTCGTTAACAGGCCCCAAAAGTCTTCAGAAAGGCAAACAGAAAGGGCTTCCTCATCTTCTTCTTTTGACTGGTGAGTGGAAGACATGGTTGCTGAGGAAAATCAGCAAAACGGGAAGAAAGAACATCAGACCTGTTCCTTTGACTGAAAACTTCAGGAATACAGAATGAATCCAAGTTCAAAATGTATTGTTCTATTTTAACTGGGCCAAGAGAAAATTTAACCACGGAAGAATAACTCAGAAATTCTAACACAGAACAAAGCTTTAGCTACATCCTGCCTCTAATCAAATGGTGGCAGACAAGCAGTCACTATGTGTCAGAACAAACAGACCGTTTAGAGAGAGGCACCCCAGGATGGGTCAAGATAAAACAGTAACTGTGCAAAAAGACTGAAGGAGGGAGTAAAGCGGGCATGTGCAACGTTCAAAACAAAAGCCCAAGTGAGAAGGAAATACGCTAAGGAAGAGAAGCCAATTCCTCAAACTGTTTTTCACTCTAGAAAATTGTAAGATTTTCAAGGAAATAAGAATTCAAAGACAGGACAATGAAGCAACAGAATGACTCACACCTAAAAAAATAGCAAATGGCACCAGAGTAGAACTAATAAATTTTACACCAGGAACAGCAAGGAACAAAATAAACACTGCTGAGAATAAAAATACTGACTCAAAGAAAAAAGAAGTTTTTAAAATCATACTCAATCTAGATCTTTCTACAATAATCATATAATTACTTGCAGTACTGGGGACTGAACCCAGAAGGCACTGAGGTATATCCCCAGCCATTTTTGAGACAGGTTCTTTAGTTGCCCAAACTGACCTCAAGTTTGAGATCCCCCTGCCTCAGTCTCCAGAGAAGTGGGGATTAAAGACAGGCATGAGCCACCTCACCCAGCTTTTATGCTTTTGTATATAAAAACTGGGGACTGAATTCAGGGCTCTGTGTATGCTAAGAAAGCACTGTACCACTAAGCTACATCTCCAGCCCATAACACCTAAACCCTCACATTTTGAGCTTAAAAAGTAAGATTATTTGATGCTATTTGTATATACTTACACATCCACAAGAATCTGGTCCTCCATTGAACAAGGAACACGCCATCCTCACAATTTCTGCCTCTAATTTACGTAGTCCTGGGAAAATATCTGGATGCAGTGGGTTACTCCACGCAAAAGTTCCATAAGCCTGTGAAGAAAATGCAAGAAGATGTGAGATAAGACTATTAAAGTGCAGAGGACAAACACTGGGTTGCATATGGTTGTACACGCCTGTAATCCTAGCACTAAGAAGGCTGAGGTAGGACAACTGCTGTGAGATAGAGGCCAGCCTGGGCCACACAGGGAGTTCAAGGCCAGCCTAGACTACATAATGAGACCCTGTCTCGAAAAAAAAAAAAAAAAGACTCTTGCACTAAACGGAAGTTTCAAGGTACTGGGCCCAAAGCTCGGAGGCTAGAAAATCAAAATATAGTGGATGAGACAGACAAGCAAATAAATTATTTTACAACGTGATAAGGGAAGAAGTACAAATATAGTTAAAAAAGGACACCAAAAGGTCTTGTTTGAAGTCATAGCTTTGCCTATTGCTTTTAGCTGTGTACAACAAATAACTCTGAGGCTCAGTTTCCTCGTATGCAAAGAGGGATGATCGTGCAACCTACTGTTCTAGAAATAAACAACATACTGCACTGAAAACACAATTAGAGTGCCTGGCACAGAGCTGCTGTTGTTATTGAGGGCAAGACTAGATTTCTGTGCACAGCACTACGAGACCCCAAGAAGGAAAGAACGCAACGTGCTGACTGCTCTTGAAGGGTCTGTCAAATGGACCCTTGAGAGATGAACAGAAATTCATCACGAGGAAGAGGAGGAAGAAGAAAGGAAGGCAACAAGATGGAGTGTGGCATTTAGCAAAGAAAGACAGGCACTAAGTGTTCACGTGGGGTGATAACGAGAGGTTAAATAAGGGGAAACTGACTTGTGAAGGGACTCACATTCCCTAACACATCACAACCTGTGCTTTAAAAGACTTTAAACCTAGAAGTAACCTGTAACACTAAGTAAGGTATGCACAGTTTCGTAATTAACAATCAAACACGAAGGCCTTAGAGATCACCATCAGTCCAACCCCAATTTTACATGACAAATTGGGCTTCAAAAATAAACTAGTCAGGCCGGGGCTATAGCTCAGAGGCACACGAGCTTGCCTGGCAAATGTCCTGAGTTCGATTCCTGGTACCAAAAATAAATTAATTAATTAATTGTCTAGGGCTGGGGTAATCAAAGTGGTAAAGCACTTGCCTAGCATGTGCAGTGCACTGGGTTCAATCCTCAACATCACACACACACACACACACACACACACACACACACACAAAATCTCATTTGATCAGAAATGAAAGAAGCTACAGACTTCTAAAGTAAACAAAGACCGAGAATGATCTCTCAGGTCATGTGCTCTGAGGAAATTATTACTGTATCTTTTCTTACCAAACGGGATCAAAAAAATCTCAAATGACAGGCTACCTTTCCTAGTAATATGCCTTCTCCATGAAGCCTAGAAATGTAACATCTGACTTTTCTCCCAACCGAGAATGTCTCTGACAAGATTATACGTATGTGATCCTGTTAGGACAAAGACAGCCTTTCTGAAGCTCTGTGGTTTTATTCAACAAGAAGCTTTCCTTAAATAAGCTGTTTTCATGACAAAAGGAAGGAGGAGACCTGAGGTCAAGCACACTGGGAAAATGCCTGCACGCATCCTTCAAGCCGGCGTTCACCTGCACGAGCAGCTCTGTGAGCTTCTCCTCCCCACTGTACACAGCTCCCGAGGCCTTCCCTTCTTGCCAGACACCATCTGCGGAGAAAGTCAAGGGCACACAGTCATCAGGGAAGACAGTTACATCCGAACATGGAGGAGATATGAGAAAGGCCCTCTGGGCACACAAGAAAAGAAGCTGAGTGGAAGCCCAGTGTGGTTCTTATATTAAATCAATAAAGAATCTCAATAAAAATCTGCTACAAAATAAAAGACTATCAATTACTGTCAACAGTGTGAAAAGATACTAACAGCAATGAGGTGCAACAAAGGCAGTCCAGTAATAATGATGTCCACATCCTCAGCAGTCTTCTCCCAGCAGAAAAACTATCCTTTGGCCACGCTTACTTTCTGTTCTCTGCATGGCTTTAACGTGACCTTTTCCTCTTTCCCTTTCCATCCAATCACAGAAAGTATGGGGACTACTGTGAGCAGAGCTGACAGAAAAGAGCAAGAGGAAAGTGTGGAAGTTCAGTGCACTATCATCAGAGCCGGAGCCAGGGCACAGGCCATGTTGAAGGATGAGCCACACACACCCCACCCTCAGAGCCCTTCCCTCTTCCAAGCCTGGAACCCCACACAGAAGTAGCCCCCAGTGACCAGTAGGATGTGTCACAGCATTCAAGATCAGGCACATAGTCAACCCTGAGAAAAAGCGGAGAAAGGCTTCTGACCAGAACACAGGGTCAGACTTTCCACATCCCACCCCTAGTGTTCCTACAGAGCTAGTCCACATTATACCAACCATCTGTGTATGTGGGTGTCTTGGTTCTTTTTGCTGCAACATGGCTGTGCCCTACTGAAAGTGGGCAGTGACAAAGCTATCACAGAAACACAGGAACTGAAAATGCAAATACAGTAGTCATGGGCCCTAAAGCAAAAATCTTCTTCAGTTTATTTATTTATTTTTTCTTTGGTTTTTTGGTTTTTCTCCGGTACCGGGAACCGAACACAAGACCTTGCACTTGCCAGGCAGGTGCTTTTGCCGCTGAGCTAAATCCCCAGCCCCGTTTTTTTTTTTTTTTTTTTTTTTTAATCTTCTTCAGTTTAGCAAGACGCCAGAAGGCTGAGCAGCAGATACAAAGCCATGCCCCAGTCTGACAGCCACCTGCAGAAAAAGCCACCTCCAGCTTGCTACCAGTCTGACTTCCACTCTTTCTTCCACACATACTCGTTAGAAATTTTGTTTGTCAAAATGCAATGTGGTATCTATTCTGAACTCGATACCAGAACAAAAGAAAGAGTATTTGTAGAAAAGTTGATTAAATAGCATTTATAGTTTAGATAATAGTACACACCAATGTCCATTTTTTCAGTTTTGATAAATGCACCATGGCTAGCAAGTTGTTACCAAGAGATGAGTGAAGGGCACACAGGAAACCTCTGTATCATCCTTGCTACTTTTCTATAAATCTAAAATTATGCCCAACTAAAAAGTTTATTTTTAAAAAAGTATTTATAATATGATCTTAATCTAAAAATCATGTATACGTTTATATTAACATATGCCAGGTACTATACATTTCCATGCATGACTTCAATTGTTTTGCGTGTGTGTGTGTGTGTGTGGTGCTGGGAATGGAACCCAGGGCCTTGTGCATGCAAGGCAAGAACTCTATCACTGAGCCACATCTCTAGCCCTATGATTTCATTTAATCCTCTTAATCACGCTTTTAAGGAAGCAGAGACTGCAGCAGTAAAGAAAGTGGGACATACAGAAGGTAAACAACTCTTTTTAAGCAGCAAAATCAGGATGGGCTAACTCCATGGGTTGTATTCTTAAACATTAGGCTGTCTGGTGTTTTTATCTTTCCCATAGGTGCTCATGCGTATGTATGTATATGCTCACACAAAACACTGCTAACATTCTGAGACAGAAGCTGGGTGTGCTGACACATGCTTATGACACCAGCACTCAGGAGGCTGGGGCAGGAGGATCACCAGGAGGTGATGGGCTCCATAGTGAGTTCAAGGCCAACCTGGACTATATAATGAGACTCTGTCTCAAAAACATTAAAAAAAAAAAAAATTCTGATTTAGATATAGATATTTGTAGTACATCTCTAGAAATAGCCTTAAACAGATCTATCTATCTCAGTCCACCTAGATATTGTATCATCTATGTTCCTCTTTGGATGATGGCATGATAGTGACTTTTTTGACAGATTTCATAAGCTTATATTTCATTTCTACTTAGATTCTTTTTAAAAATACTAATGTATCTATTTTATTCATGTTTACAAAAGGAAATAGAACTAATTTCTACTGTCTCTGAGATTTGGTTGCTTTACAAATCAATGATGAGCCAGGCATGGTGGTGCATGCTCACAATCCCAACACTCAGGAGGCTGAGGCTGGATCATCACCACAAATTAAAGACCAGTCTAGGCTGTATAGTGAGTTCTAGACAAGCCTGAACTACATAGTGAGGCCCTGTCTGAAATAAATAAATAAATAAATAAATAACGAATCTAAAATTTTCAAATATGAAATTTAGTCCTTGAAACAGGGAGTGGGCCCTCCTAAACATACAGGGACCAGAAATGAGTTATGCTTAACCTAAGAAAATTGGGGCTGGGGATTTAGCTCAGCAGCACAGCGCCTGCCTGGCAAGCGCACCGTCATGAGTTCCATTCCCGGTACCAGAAAAAACAAAAAACAAAAAACAAAAACAAAAAAAAAGAAAATATTAGAGGATGACAAAAGCAACCACACTGAGGAGCAGGTACGTGCCTACCCCAAGCATCTTACCTGTGGCACTATACTCCTTGAGTTTCTCTAGGACTGCCGTTGTGCTTAAACCCTGGGCCGGCAGAGCTTTCACATAGTCTTTATCCACTTTCAGGTACTGCAAGTGCTTCCCAAGGTCTTCTTTGATCTCTGTCAACTTGCTCTGAATCTATTAAGTGTAAGAAAGAAGATAAAAGGATAGCGGAGAAGTCAGTTATGACATCTAATCACCTGCCCAACACTAGGCATTACACATGGGCTATTGAACTGGGATAGTATTTCTTAAAAGAGATGTGATATTCTGTTTAGCCAGCATGTGCAACAGGTTCTGAGAATTTTAAAAAGCCAAGCCTCAGGGGCTGGCAACACAGCTCAGTGGTACAATGCTTGCTTAACAAGTGTAAGGCCCTTGGTTTGATCTCTAGCATGGCAAAAAAAAAAAGAAAGTCAACTTCCTAATGGTCAAAGATGCACTCATTTTCCTCACTCCCCTTTTCTCTGCCATGTTGAAATCAGCACTGCTTTATCTGGTGTGCATTTGCTGAAGTCAGGACTAAGCTGAGTGCAGTATCTGGACCTTATTCCAGCCTTGGCGACAGCTACAATGTACACATGAACACAACATACGCAGAGCCACGAAAGCAGCCATGATGCAGTAAAGGGGATCTCGGTCCTTATGCAAGTGATAGGAACTTTGACCAATATGCACAGGGCACACCTGGAATCTGGAGGTCCCAGACAAGCTCATGTGTACAAACATACAACATTAGAGCTGCCCGAATGACCACGCTAATTCCCCTTAAGCTGCTGTGACAGTTTGTACTGTCTGACTCTGAAATGCTAGGAGGAACTAAGGCCCTCTCTACTACTTATAATTTATCAGCTACGGTTATTTCATTCATCCTTATAATCACAACTTGGGAGTCATTCCCTTTCATTCATTCACTCGGTTAGTAAACGCTTGCTGAACAACTACTGCAGGCCAGGGGTACAGAGTGAATAAACAAACTGAGGCAATGGGCACACAGTGGAAAAACCTCCCAATCCATCAAACTTATTTTTAGCAAGAGACAGAAAATAAAAGTCAGGTAAGGAAAAGTCCAGAGTAGGAGGGGGAGGAATCGGGAGCACAGTAAGGAGAAAGGCAGGACAGCAAGGACTATGATAACAGACTCCTGGGTGGCAAATCTGAGGACAAAGGCTATGTGATAAAAAGCTATGGCTTCAGCAATGTATTTGTTAAAATCTGATGTCCAAGATCTCACTCTGAACTATTTCTGTTTTCTCAGCCCTAGTCCTGATGGTTAAAATACAAAAGGGTTTTAAGTGAGCCCCCAACCACAGAGAAATCACAGGGAAGGCCGCCCCTCTAAAGCAGGTCTACAAGAGCTCACCATGCCAGCACCGGCAGGCAGCAGAGTCCGTGCTATCTGGCAACACGGAAGCATGCTTTAAAGTAGAGATATTTGTAAAGTTGTAACAAAAAAGTACACTACACCCATGGTAACCATGTAAACTGCAGCAAATTATGTGAACTTCCATGCACAGACTATGCTGTTGTAAAAAAAGAAAACATAACAAAAAAATTCACAATGACAGGAATACTAGAAAGCTTGGTTAAGCACCTTCTCATCCATTCTTGCAGCCTCTACCACATTACTCAATTTCTATTTCTTCAAAGCATTTATTTCAAAATGAAATTCTTATGCATTTTTTTTTCCTACTAAAATAGTGCTTAACTTCCACAACAGGCAGGACTTGCTGTTGTTTACCTCTAAATCCTCAGCACCCACAAAAGTGCTTGACACTAGGCGAGTGTTCAATAAACGTAGTAAGTGAACAACTGAAATAACTTTGCTCTAAGCCTCAGAATTCGCTTTTAAAAACTAAAGGGCCATCCCTAGGGATTTTCCAATTCTGTTGTAAGTTTACAAATGGGTTCTGGAAACCCAGCATTTATTTGTCTCAAATTCTTGAAACAGAAAGGACAAGTGAAAGCGCCTGCCTGGCAAGCGCAAGGTCGTGAGTTCGGTTCCTGGTACCGGAGAAAAACCAAAAAAAAAAAGAAAGGACAAGTGAGAAGGTAAGAACAGAAAACAGGTGAGTGACTCCAAGGGGAAACTCTACTATCTTTTGTGATAGTCTTCCCTCACCCCAGAACACTTCAGGCCAACAGTGAAAGAAAACTTGAAGGCAGGTTAGGCTGGAAAAGAATCAAAGGAAAGCTGAGGGGCAGAGCCGGGTGCTGGGGGAAATGACAGCATCAAGGCCTCATCTGGCCTCCTTAGAGCTTGCATGGGACCTGCTTTGTTTATCTTTGGCTGCCTGCAATAAAGACCATGAGGTCACGGGATATCTTATCTAGTGTGGGTGAGAGCAGAGAGGCAACAGCGAAGGCAGCAAGCAGGTGCAAAGAACAAGAGAATAGTTTCATTATCTCTTTAAATTTCTAACCTGTGTTTTCTGGGAATAAGGCTTCCCTGGAATACAATCAGGCTCATTCCTCACAACCTGTCCTTTTCTTGCTACAATAGACACAGCGTGGCCTAAAATGTTTCTTGTCTACCCTTTTACAGAAACTTGGCTAATCCAATTTAACCCCTAGAAAAACAGTTAAATTTAGCATGCCAAATACTGTTCTAAAGAATGGTAACATTCCAGTCAAGTTTTCTCATTTCAAATTACTCTACTTTAACAGATCTCTCCTCATGTGTTGGAGAAATGGTTAAGTCAAGGTTTCTCCAACCTTGGCCCTTTTAACATATTAAGCAGATAAATATCTGCTGTAAGGCTGTCTTGTACATGGTACAATGTTTCAGACACCTTGGCCTCAACCTACTAGATGCCAGCAGTACTGCACTGGAGTCACAGCAACCCCTACTGTCTCAAAGCACTGCCAACTGTCCCCTGGAGGTAGAAGACAAGACCAGCCTCTCCTTTTCAAATAGCAAGTTTAGCAAATAGGAAGGAAGAGCTATGATTATAAAGAGGGGAAGAAAGACCTAGATAGTAACACTCACCTTTTTACCAACAAAGGGCATCTTCCTTACGAGCTTAAAAAACTTCTTTTTAAACCTTGACCATAAGCCTACAAGAAACAAAGGTTCTATTATTCAAATGTTTTGTTTTGTTTTATGTCTTTTTAAGACAGGGTTTCACTGTGCAGTTCAGGCTGGCCTTGAGCTCACTTTGTAGCCCAGGCTGGCCTCGAACTCGCAACAATCCTCCTGCCTCAGCCTCCTGAATGCTGGGATTACAGGCGTGCACCACCACCGAATGTATTTTCATGGATATGACCTGCTTGCTAATCAACAGATTATTCACTGTGTCTCACAGTTTCACTTCCCTTCACAATGCAAAGAAAGACTTACTTTACTTTTAAAAAAAACTTTTAATTTTCTGAATAAGATATTTACAGGGTCCAGAGTTTATTAAAAAATAAACATACATACAGTAACTTCACTCTCTTTCTTTCATATATCTCCTGAACCTTAACCTGCCCCCAGGTTAAACACACATAAGTTTTCAGCATATTCTTCCAGTTTAAGTATGTACAAGTAACAATAAAGATATACTTTTTTATTGTTGTTTTGTTTGTTTGTTTGTTTTCTGGTACTGGGAATTGAACTCACAAAGTTGCGCTTGCCAGGCAGGCACTGTGCCGCTGAGCTAAATCCCCAGCCCCAAAGATATATTCTTATTTCTCTCCATTCTGGTACAAAAGATAGCACAGTCTAACTCTGGGCTAGACCTTATTTTTCTACTTAGAAATATTACTTTAAAAGATCAGTGTTTCCCCCTTCATTCTACCAGTACTGATTATTTCATTATTTAGAAATACCATAATTGAAGAACCTACCCCTTATTGATAAATTACAGGTTGTTTCTAACACTTGCTGTTATAATCTATGCTAAAATAAATAACTTCGTAACATACACCATACAGCAACCACACAAGTGGATCTATCAACAAATGCCCAGGAGCAGAACTGCTGGGTCAAATGATACCTATATGCCAGAAACCTTCTCGTGGTTTCCAGATGCCCTCATCCTTGTCTCCAAAGAAATGACCACCTCACAGATTTTTAAGGATCTATGCTCTCATCTCTCAACAAACAGAGACTGTCTTAGTTACTTTTCTCTTGCTGCTAAGACAAAATACCCAATACCCAAAGTTAAAGGAGGAAAACTTGATTTAGCTCAGTTCACAGGGGTTTCAGTCCATCATCGGCTGGCTCCAAGGCAGGAGGGCCTGACAGAAGAGAAGTAGTTCACAGTAGGCAGAAGGTAACAAAGCAAGCAAGGGACAACCACAGCTTTCAATCCCTTATATTCTATCCAGGCTACTTAGGGCAAATAGCACTCACACCCTTAATCCTTGGGCCCTTGAGCCCAGCGCTGCACTATGAATCAATCCCAGCGCATCATGGGTCAGTCCCAGCATCACACACTCTAGATCCAGCCACCTCTGAAAAAGCCCCACCTTAGACCACAGGAGCCTCCGGGGGGACATTTACACACAAGCCATAACACAGGTCCTAGCAACATTTTCTGGACCTAAAAAGAACCTGAAAATCATGGACATCAGAATCCATTCTATCAGGGAGAGAACTGTGTTTGATAGGAATCAATTATAGTAACTATACAGGCAATTATAATAAATGCACAAATAAAAGCATAAATAAAATTTTTATAATATAAATAAAATAAGTAGTTTATATTTATGTAAGCATAAGTAGAATTTATAATAAATACGTGGTATCTAACTAGACTGTTTAGTGCACTCACATTCAATAAATCTCAACTGACTTGGAAAACAGCATTTTGAGATTGGTCTAGAAGGCTTTATACACTACCTGACTGACACAGAGGCAACTGACAGTCAAGGAAAATTTGCTCAAGGCCACAGATCAGATCAGTGACAGAGCAGGATTTAACTGAAGTCTTTCCTTTTTTAGTCCACGACTCTATGCTGCGCGAAATGAAGTAGGACTGCTCTGCTATCCCACGTGAGTTTCTAAGACTCTAGCCCCAGCTTTGATCCCAGGCATGAACTGAGTGTGAACCTATACTGTGTTCCAAAGGCAATCTGGGCATTCCATCTTCCCTCTCAGCTCCACAACCACAGGAATTTAAAAAATGAATTTGCTCAGCTAAGACAGAAATGCCTATGTAAAAACAACGATTATCTCTCCTTGCAGTTCATAAACTCTGTTTGTGACTAGCTGGGTCAGGTATTTCCATGTTCATTTGAATATGGGTAAACAGAGTGCTTAAAGACGCCCTGTGAGAAACAGTTGATTATTTCCCCTCACATAAAGCTGATTTCTGTTGATGGACAATGGACAACCACACAGTTAAATTCAATACTGACGCATTAAGGAGTAAGCTTTGAGTTGATAATGACAGAGCAGAATTCAGGAAGAGATAGTGCCTGGAGAAGCTGATAACCTCTGCCCAGGATCTTGGTATTCACAGTTCTTAGGTACTCCCTACCCTTTGTTCCAGAATTACTTAATCTTCTAATTTAACTAGTCCAGATTTCAGTCGCTTCTACTGCAATATACTAAAAGTAACTCAATCATTCAGCAGTTCATAGCATATTCCTACCTGAGCAAGGCACTGATAAAATAGCAAGCCTATCAGAACTACCCCTCTTATTTGTAGGAAAGGCATTCTTATCTGTATCTGAAATTCAATTTGGAAGTTACAAAATAAAAACTGTGTTTTCTGTGTATTCAACTGTATTAAGTTGCCAATATTCAACAATTTTAGCCCTCTAAAATCTAGTTTCTATGGTTCAACCTGATTTAGATTAGCCTTAGAGGGGCTGGGGGTTTAGCTCAGTGGCACAGTGCCTGCCTGGCAAGCGCAAGGTCGTGAGTTCAATTCCTGGTACTGGAAAAAAACCAAAACCAAAACTGAAAAAAAAAAAAAAAAATATATATATATATAGATAGATAGATAGATAGATAGATAGATTAGCCTTAGACATAGGTGCTTTTGGAAGCAAGATTTTAATTTTGTTCTTATGGTTTATCTATATATATTGTCTAAATTTCCTACAGGGAACATGTACTGATTTTGTAATGAAACACATATTACTAAAATCAAAGTAATATGAAACACATATTATTTTGGAGTTCAACCACAAAGATCTTTAGTATTCTGCTACTGTTATTTTCTCACAGAATGCTCAGTGCTGGCATAGCATATTCCTTTTTGCCTCAGCCTCCCCAGGTGTTGGGGTGACAGCTGTGGACCACCACGCCTGGCTGGTGTTACGTATATCTTATCACAATAAGAAGGAAATGTAAGAAAGGCACGTAAGTACATATCAACACCCAAAGTGGCAGTGCAAATGCTATCAGCTAAGCAAAATGCATGGCACAGTAAGCTGCAGAACTGAAACTGAGTATCTAACCAGAAAAACGCGAAGTGTGTGAGGTAATGCATATGTTAACTAGCTCAATTTAGCCATTCCATGATGTACACACATTCCAAAACAGCACGTTATACATGATAAATATATGCAATTTCTACTTGTCAACTAAAATTAATTAGCTTTTTTTTCAAAGTAAGGAATTAAATACCTAACATTAATATTCATCATGGCAAATAAATACAGATTTCAAGATCTCTAAATTTAGTCTGGTTTCATAAATGCAGTACTTTTAAAAGAAAAGCACATAGCTTCCATTTCCACAGTGAAGTGCCTGTAACCCTCTGTTTGTACTCCTCGTGTTGCTAACATGAAGCCAGTCGTTTTTTCAGACAGGACCCAGTTTGCCCCGATAAGGCTTGAATTTATGATCCTCTTGCCTCAGCCTCCCTGAGTGTTGGGATGACAGGTGCAGACCACCACGCCTGGCTGATGTTATATATACCTTATCATAGTACGCAAAAAGAAACATAAGAATACTGCTATCCTGTTGCTTCCTGGGGCTCTCTGGACAGGGCAGAGGCGCTTTACCTCGCAGGGTGCAGGGCTCTTTGCTCACTCAATGGCATACTTCTTGGGAAAGCAGTGTGCTGAGTAGATGGCACATACTGTAACTACATCCAAAGCATTGAGCAGACGCAGCGAAAAGATCAATCTAACCTGCCAGTTTATGAAAACTGAGGACAGGGTCTGTAAAGCTGCACTGAAGAGTTATTTTAGGTAGGAAAGTTATGTCTCTCTTCCACTTTAATTAAAAAGCTGCCACGTGTGGTGGTGCACACCTGTAATCCCAGCACTCGGGAGGCTGAGGCAGGAGCATCATTGCAAGTTCGAGACCAGCCTGGGCTACAAAG